CGCCCCCCCGCCTGGCGCTGGGTGGGTGTTTTTAACGCAGCACAGGTGTCCGTGCGGAGTGTGCCGGCGGTCGTGGGATCGGTCAGGGAGTGTTTTTAGCCCGGGTAGGGCCCTGCGGGAAGAGCAGGTTCTGGTGCGGGCAGCCCTTCGCTTCGGTTCCTAAACCCGCTGGCAGGTCTCAGCCGCGCTCGAAGCAGAAGCGGTTGTCTCGGGGACAGTCAAGTTCCCGTAGGTTGTATGAGAGCAGGTGGCTGAGGGTTGTGCCGCTTCACGGCTGCCTCGGGGAGGGCAGGAGGAATGCTGGTGCCTGGGAGCGGCTGGCGCCGTGGGTCAGCCAACACCTTGGTCGGCTGCACTGCTTGTGTACACCCTCCCTAGACAGGCACCGTGCATTTTGGTGGCTTAGAGGTGCGTTAGGAGGCTCGGAGCTACACTAGGCTTATTTTTCTAAAACAAAAATCTGGGTGAAAGTGGAAGTCTATAGGAAACCAACCTTATGGAGCTCCTTATTTCTTAAAGCTTTAAGTCGTGAATGAATCTATGACTGTATAAACATTTCAACTTTCACCTAAAAATCATTGATTTTCCCCGCATGTAAATGTGGAGAAAGATACCAAAAAGAGAAAGTCGAGCTAAAAATAAAATTGTGGTTTAAAACATCATCATCAGTCCTAAATATTTTGTGCTGCAGAATGAGGGGTTGAACTTTCACTTATTTGAATGTTTGGTATTGACAATACTGCAATTGCTGCAACTCGTTTCTACCTGGAAGCATTCACTAATCCTTTTGAGCTCTTCTCCATATCAAACTGTAGGTTATGATCTTATGAAATAAATCCAGTGCTATGAGAGCACAGAATTCAGCAAAGGTTTGGACATCTTAGAAGGTCTTCTTTTCAGTCTTTGGGCTTGAAGATGTTACATGAGTAGTTCTTTCTGATCTGGGATTGATTGTGTTCTCAGTATGTCACTTTTAGTAATTAAACTACTGTCTTAGAGGTAGGATTGATTTCTTTTTAGGAAGAAAGAAAAAAAAGACAATACCCGAGTCTTTTTCAAGACTCTCTAGTCCTGACACAAAACCAGCCATGGCAAACATGCTGCCTTTGCCTGGTAGAAGGCTGTGGGCCACACTGTCTGCCAGCCCGATTGTCACATTGGAAAACACCGTGATTGAAAAGAGTTTCCCAGCCTCACCTTGGCAAAGGATGTGAATTGATATTGATGGTTTATGCTGGTCTTGAACTTTTTGTGGGGAGCGCACTCTCTCATAATGGTTTTAGTCTTGCTAGCCCCCCATCTTAATTCCTCAACTCGTCTAGATTCTTGCTGACATCACTGGCTGCTGTGGGCAGCCTTCAACCACACACAGCTAGCAAGATAGTTG